TTTACTCATGGATATTTAATTGTCCTAGAATGATTTGTCAATTTTCCACTTCTCATTTGACTGCCAATTGCGGTATCTTATGTGATACAATAACACATAGAAGTTTCTGTATAGCGTCTATTTGGGGACTCTATTCACATTAATTTATACCTAAGCCATTATGGTGGAATCTTAGTCATATGGTTATAAGTTTACACCAGGTAGGACAAATTTTAGTTTTGGTGATGCCCAATTTACTAATTTTGGATGTGAGGATGCAGTCAGCAGTGGACTGCTTGTCTAGCATGAATGAAGGCCTGGATCAAATCTCCAGCAGCTCCACAAAAGAAAAGAAAAGGTGTCTTTTTATATTATGTGTGAGAAACTTTTGTATAAAGACATCCTATTTTCTCTCCTAAAGCTTTATAGTTTTAGTTTCCATATAAAGACATATAATCTATTTCAAAGTAACTTTTGTGCATGATGAAAGGTAGGGGTCAAGGTTCATTTTCTTTCCATATAAATATTTAGCTCCTTTAGTATTACTCATTAAAGAGATTTTCACTTCTATATTGGACTCTTCTAGCATCTTTGTCAAAAACCAAAAAGCCCATTTATTATCTGCATCAATTTTTGGGCACTGTAGTCTAGTCTTTGGTCTGCTCATCTGTCCTTACTATATTGTCAGTTCATTAAAAGTTTATTGGAGTGTGTGTGTGTGTGTGTTGATATATGATATACTGGGACTTAAATCTCAGCCTCCTGAATAGCTAGGATTATAGGTATGAACCACTGGCACCCAGTTCTGAATTTTTATTGAAGTGTGTTTTATTTCTAGGGCTTAATTTGCTCCTGGCAAGATTATTTTAGGACTAAAGACATAGATCATGTGAGACTCCAGCCTCATTTTTTCATGAAAGTTAAGTGAAAGCACAATGTCCTGAATTCAAGCTCCTGGTCCTGGCAAAGGAAAAAAATATTTTAAAAAGTATTCCTAAGCCAGGTGTTGGTAGCTCACACCTGTAATCTTAGCTACTTGGGAGACAGATCTGAAGATCATGGTTGAGGTCAACCCAGGCTGGAGAGTCTATGAGACTCTTATCTCCAATTAACCACCAAAAAGCTGCAAGTAGAGCTAGCCTTGAGCAAAAAACCTCATGAACAGTGCCCAGGCCCTGAGTTCAAGCCCCAGAACCAGCACACAAAAAATTATTTCTATTGTACCAATTAGTGTGCAGCAATCAATTTGTTCTTTTGCTTAGTTCTTGAGATGGAAATCTATGTAACTGATTCTAATCTTCTTTTTCTAACATATAAAGCATATAAAGTACTATATAATAAAACGTAGTAAATAGATTTTTCTCCTAAGCAATGCTTTGGCTATACCCACAAACATTAAATTGTGTTTTATTATCAACATGAAATATTTTCTAAATTCCCCATATTCTTCTTTGATCTTTAGTTACACAGAACTTTGTCACATAATTTAAAAGTAACTGAGTTTTCATCACCAATTTCTAAATTAATTTATTGTCAAGGAATATATTCTAAATTACTTTATTGTCAAGGAATCTTTCAGAAGTTTTGAGAACATATGGTCTATTTTAGTAAATCATCCATTTGCACTTAAAAATCATTGTGCATTGTAGAGTGTAACATTTTATAAATATTATGGCAAATGAGAAGGTCATGTTCAATTATTTTTAGGATTTACTCAAGTCTATTCTATCAATTGGCCAGAGAAATGCATTAAAATCTACCATGATATCTATTTATCCTATTATTCTATTTATCTTTTGGATTTTTCCACTTTATCCTTCATGTATTTGGGTTTTAAATACATGCATGCTTAGGATTATAATGTTTCCTTGATAGGATCATCATTTATATTTAATTAACAGTAAACTTCTTGAGTACTCTGTCTTTCCAACAGTGAAACAGGCATATCTTGGAGACATTGTAGGTTCAGATCCAGGGTACCCCAAGAAGGCTACTATAGCAAGACAGTGGATCATATTTGTTTTCCAGTGTATGTTTAAAGCCAGGCATAGTGGCTTTAAACATTACATAACTGTAATCCCAACACTCAGGAGGCTAAGTCAGGAGAAGCCTGAGTTCAAGGCAAGCTTGAGCTACACAGAAAGTTCAGGTTAGCCTGGATTTCCTCTCAACAATCAAAAAGAGCAAAAAGTAAAATTTTTAAAAAAGTTTCACACACCACTGGAATCTTAAGTTTGAAAAGTATTGTGTCTAAAAAAATGTACTTAAAAGTATTTTATTGGCCAACAATTGTTAATGACCATCTGAACCTTTAGTGAGTCATGGCTTTTTTGTTGGTAGAGGCTCTTGCTTCGGCATGCACAGGTGCTGATTGATCAGTAGTAGGGTGGTAGTTGGTTAGGGTTATGATAGCAATTCCTTAAGACAACACTGTAGTTTGCTGTCAATCAGCACACAATGCTGCTGGACGGCACTTTACTCATGGTAAAATTTGTTTTACAATTAAGAGTCTGGGCCAGGCCCCAGTGGCTCATGTCTATAAGCCTAGCTACTTAGGAGGCTGAGATCCGAAAGTCAGGTCTTGAAGCCAGTCAAGCAAAGTCCATGAGAATCATCTCCAATTAACCAGAAATAGAAATAGAGACTAGAAATACAGCTATGGCTCAAAGTGATAGAGTGCTAGCCTTGAGCAAAGGAGCTCAGGGACATTACCCAGGTCAAGCTCCAAAGGGTTTAGTGATCTAAACTCTTTGTTGCTACTTTGACAATGTTCACAGCATCTTCACTAGAGTAAATCCCATCTCAGAGCCAGTCTCAGTGTATGGGAGAGTGGAGAGAGGGAGGGTGATGTGCGCATGCACATTATGCTGAACATACACTCTACTGCTGAGTTACAACCTGTCCCCTTGAAAATATTAACCCGCCACTGTGTGACCAACAGCCATACTGATGAGATGACCATGATGGCTCCAACACCTTAGGCTTGAGGAACCCAGGATGAGCTGGTTTTGCAACCCTTCTTCATACACCATTTGAAGCTTGGATTACTCTCTTGGAAGTCTCTGGCACATCCTCCATGCAGTCCCCTACTACTATCCCCTACTAGGCCCTGGTCACTGTCTGTTCATCCTTCTAACCAACTCCTCACCATTAAAGTAAAACTGCAGCAATTCGGCCACATCATCAGTTTGCATTTCTAATTCCAGTTCTCATGGTATCTACTACATCTGCAGCCCCTCCACCAATGTCTTGAAATGTCTTTAAGTAAACCACAAAGTCTGGAATCCATTTCTTTCAAATTCTTGCTAATGTCACTTTCTTTACCTCCTCCCTGAAACCAATCAAAAGTTTTCAACTTACTTTGCCCAGATCTCTCAGAGGACTCTATGTTGGCTATTGTCTATAGAGTTTTGACTAAGATATAGAAGTTGAAAATGCTCCTTGTCCCATTGGTTGAAGAGTGACTATGTGATCAGGCATGAAAACATTAATCTCGTTGTACATCTCCACCATACCTCTTGGATAATCAGGTGCACTGTTGATGAGCAGTGATGTTTTGAAAAGAATCTTCTGAGTTTCAACAATAGGCTTAAAATATTCAGTAACCTGGGGCTGAGGGAATAGTTCAGTGGTAGGATATAAATACTAAGTATATATGAGGCCCTAGGTTCCATCCAACAGCAAAACTGTTTTCCTTTTCAGTAAACCATGTTGTAAACAGATGTGCTGTCATCCAAGGTTTGTTCTCCCATTTAGAGATGGAGGCACAGTAGGTCTAGCATAATTCCTAAGGGCCCTTGAATTTGGGGAATGGTAAATGGACATTGGATTCAACTTTGTCACTAGCTACATTAGCCCTGACTTGAGAGCCACCTTATCCTTTGACACCAGTACTTGGCTTGGCTTCTCTGGCTCTAAAAACCATAGACAGCATTATGCCAATATTAGGCTGTTTTAGCTACACTTAAAATCTTTTGCTTAGTGTAGCCATCCTTTCAATTACCTTAGCTGCATCTTCTAGAAGCTTGCTGCAGCTTTGACGATGACACTTTCTGGCCTCACCTTGCAGTTTCCATGTGATGGGGATGTTTTTCCACACACCTCATGAACTAGCTTTGACTCTTATCATCTCTCAGCTTTCATAAAATTGAAGTTAGGACCAGACCCTGCTTTAGACTCTGACTTAAAGAGTATTGTGGCTCCTCTGATCTTCTTTCCAGATCAACTTTCTCCAGATCACCAATAAGGCTGATTCACTTTCTAATCATCCCTGCATTCTCTGGAGTAGCATTATTAACATTTCCTTCAAGAACTTTTCCTTTCCAGTCACAAGATGGCTAACTGGAGGACAAGGCCTGCATTAGGCCTGTCTCCACTTTCAACATGCTTTCCCTCAGCTTCATCACTACTAGCTCTGATTTATAATGAGAGGCTACTCTTTCATTCACTTATACACTTAGAGATCTGGTTATTACTTGGCCTGGTTTCAATATTGCCGTGTTGCAGAGAACAAGGAGGACTGAGGCACACAAAGTTTTATTGTTTTTTTTGGGGTCCGGTCGTGGGGCCTGAACTCTTGGCCTGGGCGCTGTCCCTCAGCTCTTCAGCTCAAGGCTAGCGCTCTACCACTTGAGCCACAGCGCCACTTCTGGCTTTTTTTCTTTTTGCTTATGCGATGCTGGGGAATCAAACCCAGGGCCTCGTGCATGTAAGGCGAGCGCTCTACCACTGAGCCACCGTCCCAGCCACGACAACACAACTTTTACTGATCGACTATCAAATAATTCATGGCACCCTAAAATGGTTACAAAGGAAAACCAGTTATCATTGATCTTAGGTCACCAGATTCGATATAAAAATAGTGTATTACTGAATTAACAAAATGTAATTGAGACATGAAAAGAGAGCATGATGCTAGAAACAGACTTGCTCAAGATAAGGCTGGCACAGATCTTCCATCTGCAAAAAAAAAAAAAAGCACCATATCTGTGAAGTGGAGTAAAGCACATCAGAATAAAATGATGTATGCTGATATAGTAATGTTGTTATTTCCGGTGAGTAGTGTTTGCTAAAGTATTTTTATGTAGTTATATCTTAAACATTGTTTTTGTTGGTCGTGGGGCCTGAACTCTGGGCCTGGGTGCTGTCCCTCAGCTCTTCGGCTCAAGGCTAGCACTCTACCACTTGAGCCACAGCGCCACTTCTGGCTTTTTCTGCTTAGGTGGTGCTGAGGAATTGAACCCAGGACCTCAAAGCCAGCCTGGGCAGGAAAGTCTTGAGACTCTTCTCTCCAATAAACCACTCAGAAAACTGGAAGTAGCACAGTGACTCAAGTGGTAGAGCGCTAGCCTTGAGCTGATTTGCCAAGGGACAGCGCCCAGGCCCTGAGTTCAAACTTGATGACCCACAAAAAAAACAAAAACAAAAGCTGACTGAGATGGAGTCTCATGGACTGTTCGTCCAAATTGGCCTCAAATTGCAGTCTCCTGAGCTCAGCCTCCCAATAAGCTAGAATTATAGGCAGGAGCAACAATACTTATCCCACCATTTGCTTTACTATTTCTTTGATAAGTGCTAGGATTTGAACTCCTACTTGCTCAGCTAACTTGCTCTAGAGCTCTGCAACTTGAACCATGCTTGCAGTCTGTTATTTTGTTAGTTAATTGGAGATGGGATCTCACAGACTTTTCTACTTGGGCTAGTTTTGAACCTCAGTTCTCAATGTACTGTGTAGCTAGGATTATTTGTCTCTCCTTTCCTGATGACTTCTGGAGCTTTCTTTAAAATTCAAGTTTCTTCACCTGTAAAGTGAGAAATAATAGTAGCTTCTGGACGCCAGTGGCTCACACTTGTAATCCTAGCTACTCAGGAGGCTGAGATCTGAGGATCAAGTTCAAAGCCAGCCTGAGCAGGAAAGTCCATGAGACTCTTATCTCCACTTAACGACCAGAAAACTGGAAGTGGCATTGTGGCTCAAGTGGCAGAGTGCTCACCTTGAGCTGAATTACTCAGTGACAGCATCCAGGCCCAGAGTTCAAGCGCCACAACTGAGAAAGAAAGAAAGAAAGAAAGAAAGAAAGAAAGAAAGAAAGAAAGAAAGAAAGAAAGAAAGAAAGAAAGAAAGAAAGAAAGAAAGAAAGAAAAGAAGGAAGGAAGGAAGGAGAGAAAGAAATAGAAAGAAAGGGGGAGAGAGAAAGAAGGAAAGAAGGAAGGAAGGAAGGAAGGAAGGAAGGAAGGAAGGAAGGAAGGAAGGAAGGAAGGAAGGAGAAAAGAAAGAAAAAAGAATAGTAGCTACCTACAATTATAGTGGGGCTTATAGTAGTGTCTATTATAATAGTGGGATACGTAGGAAGATTAAAAGAAAAGCATTTAGAATTCAAGCACATAATATGCAACAGAAGTTAGTATTTCTTCCATAGCATTGATCACATAGTGAGTCTTTTACATCTTCGTGTTTTTATTTTTACCACTCATAAGTAGTAGTAAAACTACTACTGTTTTGTTCATGGTGCCATACGTACATATTTGTGTGTATGAGAATAAATCAATGGTGAAAATATTTTCTGAAAATGGACTTCTTATAATATTCTCCACTTATTCATGTTCCAAATCCCCCAGTGGATGCCAAAACCATAGACTGGACCAAACACTATGCACTATGCATTTTCCTGTTCATAGGCTACTAAATGGCTAGCAGGTGTCCAGCATAAATGAGCATGCTAGAAAAGGATGATGCATGTCCCAGGAGGACAGAGCAGGAAGCAGAAGACTTCATCATACTACTCAGAAAGCTGAACAATTTAAAACTTGTTTCTGAAAACTTCAATATAATACTTCCAGACTACAGCTGACCATGAGTAACTAAAACTATGGAAAATGGATCTATGAGATGAGAAGGGTCCTACATCTCAGATGCGGACTGGAGGGGTGGGGGGGAAGAGAGGTGGCCATGAAAACACTCAAATCAACAAAGTGTCTTTCTTGGTCCTGAACCACATTCCCTAATCCTCCCCTAATCCTCCTTCCTTCACTTCTCCCAGTGGTGTCAGACCTGCACTGCTGCCTGCAAACTACCATCCTTGTTTTTGTTCACTCCACAATTAATCTCTCCTACAACTAATCCTGTACTATATCTGCCTCTGTGCAGACCCAAACTAACCTAAGTAGGATGCCCAGAAGGAAACCCTAAGGTAAGGATTCCATGAGCAAGTGATTTATTAAGGTAGTATTCTCAAGAGAAAATGGTAAGGGAAAGAAACAAGTCAAGGAAAGGGATCAGTCCAAGCAATAGTACAAAAAACATCCCTGTCTAACCTTACAGAGAAGCTGGCCATACCAGGGCTAGAAGTCACCACTGTTCTCTTCATCATCTTAAGTTACATTCACTTATGTGGGCCAACCAAGCACACCCAAAGGATTTTACAATGCACACCAGAAAATGATTTGTATGTTTCTTAGTCTGTTCTCTATTGTTAACAACAGAATCAAGACTAGACGATTCATGAAGAGGTATATTTTGGCTCATGGTTCTAGGAGGCTGGGAAATCTAAGATCAGCCACTGTATGCCATGTCCTAACATGGTAGAAAAGCAAAAGGGAAAGCAGATGCTTGCAAAATTGGACAGTGGGGGTGGACCTACCTTATAAGGACTGGAACTCAGTAACTAATCCAATTCTTTGAGAGCAAAATGTAACTCAAGATAGATAGGCATAAGTCCATTCATGAGAGCCAGCTGACCATGGCCCAAACACAGCCTCACTTCCCAACACAGCAACACTGACAATCAAACTGCAATATGATTTTTGGGCAAGAAAAACTATTAAACATAGAAACTCAGAATCTAAAATATAACTTGATAATAGTGTACATATAATCCAATAATACCATACCTGTGCCTAGCAAATAGTAAGCACTAAATTTGTACTGAATGAACAGTATAGCATTAATATAAAATGATTGAAAATTGTTGCCATCCTATAAAATTACAGCATATCCAGTTTTTATGTGAACTCCTTTTTTTCCATAGAAGTTTCAGACCCAAAGTATGTATGAAGTGCCATTCTGCTTCTATTTTCAATCTTCTCAGTCCCATTCTTTTTCCAATGCAGAGGTTTTACTTCTTTTGCTCAACATGGCTGATAAATAAGTTTTCTCTAAATATAACTATTTTGAACCACTTAATGAAAAGGATAAAAGGCTAGGCCTAGAACCTAGCCCAAATCTGCGTCCTAACATGGTTCAAAGAGCAGAAAACCTCCTTTGGCCTAGGCAATCATCAGGCTAAAATCTAGAAAAGCAGACCAAGTTGACTTTTTGTTCATTTGTCTTAGAAGCACAAAATAAAATGTTAAAGAGTACACCAGAGAAGATGTACTCAGTACATCTGGGGGGGAGGGAAGGTCAAACCGTGATCCTCCCAGTAGCTAGGATTATATGCTTGCGGCATCTACTGTACAGAATTTAAAAAGGAAAAATGTATTTTTACTGTAAAGGTGATATACAGAGGGGTTACAGTTAAGTAAGTCAGATAAAGAGTACATTTCCTTTTGGACAATCACCCATAGTGACTTTTGATGGCCTTTTAAAAATGTATTGCTTGCTTTTTTTTAAATATAATCTAGTCTTAAGGCTCAAGATCATACTTATGTTCGTGATAGTGCCCCTTGTTTAGCTAGCCAGGTTCTTTTTTTTTGGGGGGGGGTTTGCCAGGCCTGGGGCCTGAACTCAGGGCCTGGGCACTGTCCCTGAGCTTCTTTTGTTCAAGGCTAGCACTCTACCACTTGAGCTTCTGGCTTTTTCTGTTTATGTGGTACTAAGGAATCAAACACAGGGCTTCATGCATGCTAGGTGAGCACTCTACCACGAAGCCACATCCCCGGCCCAGACTGCTTTTAAAAAGCTTTTAAACTTTTTATTGTGGCACACACAATACACATAAAATCTAGCATTAGCCATTTTAAGTATCCAATTTAGTGGGAGTAAATATATTCACAGTTGTGGAACCATCACTGCTGTCCGCTTCTAGAACTTTTTAATGATCCTTAATTGAAACTCTTAATCACTAACCCCTAGTATTCCCAAATGATGTTTTTGTACTTACATATTGCCATCTATGACTTGGTAGGAACAGTGAAAGCCATTTCTTTTTCTTTTTCTGGACCAGTCCTGGAACTTGAATTCGGGGACTGGGTCCTGTTCCTAAGCCTTCTTGCTCAAGCCTAGCACATCTTTTGAGCCACAGCTCTGCTTCCAGTGTGTATGTATGTGTATGTGTACATAATTGGAGATAAGAATCTCACAGACTTTCCTGCCCAGTCTGGCTTCAAACTGCAATCCCCAGGTTGCAGCCTCTTGAATAGTTAGGATGACCAGCATGAACCAGCAGTGCCCAAAATGTGAAAGGCATTTTTAAATCCATGACATTGGATAGCCTCAAACACTGACTTTTCAGCTCCATTTTTCAGAACCTTATAAGTAAAAAGTTGTCATTCACTGCCTTCCGCACCTTTGTTCAGGAAGTCCTCTTCATTTGGAATATCTTTCCTACTGACACTTTCAACCTCTATAGGTACCTACTGAAATCCTTCAAAGTCCCTCTCATATTCTAACTCCTTCATTAAGACTGCTTGACCACCTCAGATTGTAACCAGCTGTTCTTCCTTTGACTTATTACTATAGCGATTGTTTAAGCTAATCATAATAGAAATTTTATCCTGTAGTTATGTTCCTTTGAAATCCAACTAAAAGCTCTCCAAGAACAGGAATTAAACTATACTGTTTGACCATTTGCTTACTCATTTACTCAAACAATACTATACCCCATGCCCTGCAAATGTTTGCTGACTAAAGAAACAAGAACTTTCTAATATACTGAGCTAATAAATTTAATCTCTTGCTTGAACTTTTGTTAAAAATAATTGTGTTACCTCTGAGATCTTAGTTGTGTTTCAGACGGTTAATAATCATTAATGAACACGTGATTTATTTTAATAAAATTAATTACCAGATGAGCAAAGTGTATCACTGAATTAAGTCATTCTCATTTTGTCATTTTGTAAATTTAATTTGCAATCAAACCCCAACAATTCTGATTCTAAAAAACAAAACAACAACAACAAAAACAGCACTACTCTTTAAGTAGTCACCATTATTCACAAATCCTCTCTAGGAGTAAGTGCACAGTTATCTTTTTTCCTTAGTTCCCTTAGTTCTTAGCTATACCAAAAAGCCAGGGGGCGGTGGAGATTTGAGGATTAAGGTTCGAAGCCAGCACAAGCAGAAAAATCTTGAGGGTTTTTCAGGCCTTGAGTTCAAGCCTCAGGACACAGACACACAGACACACACACAGACACACACACACTCCCCTACTTCTGTTAGCTACAATCCACACTATCGGCCCTGAGTTCAAACCCCAGGACACACACACACACACTTAGGCCCTGAGTTCAAGCCTCAGGACACACACACACACACCCCTACTTCGGGTAGCTACAATCCACACTACCGGCCACTACCTCCCTCCTTCCCACGACGAGTGGGTGGGAAGCTGAACTCCGCGAGCTGCAGGCCCACGAGCCGCACAGCCCCGCGCCGTCCACTCTGGGGGACCCCTGACCACCCGGGCGGCCGACGCCGTCCAGCCGCGCGCAGAAACACTTCAACCCGGGAAACCACCGGTCTCCTTCCGCCCGGAAGCACAGCGCTGACAAAGCTGCACAGCGAAGCCACTCGGATCCTCTCCACTCCGGAGGTGAGTCACCCCAGAACGATGACGCCGCCGCCGCCACCGCCGCCCCGCCCGCCCCGCCCGC